TTATTCGGTCGTATCGTTGTCGGACAATTCGAGACAACGCGAGACCGATTATTCTCTCCCAGTTAATTCCCCTCGACCAGCGTCGTGTCGTCGTTCAAGTCACGAGAGACGACGAGCAGCGCGCGACTTGACACACCGAAAATACGATTTTCGACTAAATTCCGATTCCAGTGAACATGCAACTGAGCGCGCGTAAAAGTTACTCAACTTCGCCTCAACAACTCAACAACCTTTACATTTCAAACGCGACTTGCGCGATTAGTCTGATGAAAATTTGTTAATCAAAATTTACAACCGACACAACAAACATCGGTGACACAAGTCACGCGCGCCCGTTATATTGAGTATTTGACTGATTGAGTGATTGAACTTATTCGATCGCCTTATTATTAACGCAATCGCGAGATATTCTTGTCCGCTGAGATCGCACGAAGGGGTTTCACAATGTGCGATGCATCCAAGTCGCTACTGACACTTGAAAACTAACGGCGGCAGAATCCAATCTTGACGACGCGCGACCGAACCGCGTGTCCGGCTGTCAATCGCAACGGCAGCCGGCGGCTCTGGCACGAATCCCGCAAGGAGTCGCCGAAGATTACGAAAAGCCCTATGACTCCACCGATGAAGAATGCTCAAAGAGCGTCATCGCTTCGTCTCTCCGCGAAAGAGATCACGAAGACTCGCGCGCAGAGCGAGGATTATTTTCGCGTGCGTATGTGGTGTGCACGATGTACCTTGCTCCCTCCCTACCTCGTTTCTAATCGTAATACTGATTCAACAATAGATACCGTGGGGGTGAACGTTATTCGATGCGATCGAGACAAAGTCGCGCACGTTCGACGACGACGACGACGACGCTGATGGACGATGCGACAGTAGTGGATTAAGAGAACGTCGCGAGAACGAGAAGAACGGCAGGGTCGGTCAATGTAAGAGACGACAAATAAACATCCGTAGCTACCGCTACGGCGACAACGACGAGAGAGAAACGGGTCATATGGAAAATCTAAAATCGATCGCGGAAACTCGATGCGAATGAACGAAGGAACACGGTCCGTCATTCGACGACGCAATCTGTGAAAATTTGCGAGCGAAAAGCCGCAAAGCGGGGGGGGAGTCATGTAACCGGGGAACATGGTTTGGTAGTGCTCTCCCCCCCCTCCTTTCTCCGCGTCGGGAAAGAGATTGTAACCTTCAAGCGATGATACAAATTGGATTTCATCGGGACAGGAAGTCATTGCACCTTATGCTGAATGGGCAGCGAGTCAACAACCCGTTGTCTCTCTATCTTTCTCTTGTCCCCTCCCCTTCCTCCTTCACTCACTCTTCTCTCTTCTCTTGCTTTTCCTCTCTACTCCCTATTTTCCCTTCTCTCTTCTTTTTCCGCTATTCGAACGAGAAACGAGGAGAACCCGTGTGTGTTTGAGGGAGAAAAAGGAAAACCCGACAGGAGAGACGGAAAGAGAAAAAGAAAGAAATCGGGGACAAGAGGAGAAGGAGGAAGAGGAGGAGAAACAGGCGGTGGAATAGCGAAGGAGTGAGCAGGAGAGAAGGAGAGGTCTGGAAATAATTTCACGCATCGGGGAGCAGAGCGCGCTCGCGTAATAACGCGATCGGAAGTAAACGAGTCTCACGCGTGCACGCACTTTTCGTACTGACACGTGTGCGTGCTTACGTGCGTGTGCCTTCCTGGCTCTTCCAGAGACTGTAGGTTCATGTAGGTGCCGTGCACCAACAGTCGGTCGAACGACGACGTGCTGCTTTGGTAAAAGCTCGTGAAAACATGCGCACATAACGCGTTCTGTTTTTATATTTATATGAACAGCGCGCGCAAGACAGACAGACAGAGGGAGAGCGAGCGAGAGAGAGAGAGAGAGAGAGAGAGAGAGAGAGAGAGAGAGAGAGAGAGAGAGAGAAAGAGAGAGAACCGCGTGACAAGAGCGGTAGTGAAATCGATGAGCGTTACGAAAACCTATATGCGTTGACGAAGGGAGGAGAGGCTCTCTTGAAAATCAACCTTTCTCCCGTCCTTTTTCTTTTTCATCGGTCATGGTGCGCGATGTACATACGTATGTATATACGTAGACAGATAAATAGAGTGAAATCGCCGGAAAATTCCGAAATGCACGGCACATTTGATCGCACGCCGATGGAAACCGAGGGGGGAAATTACATCGAATCACGGAGGGCAATAGGACATTAGAACACGCGGAGAATTTGCAACATGAACGCGCATCGTTCGGATTTTTTCTCGGGTCGTTAGCCCTCTCACGCACGTTGCATCTTTCCTCCTGATGACTTAATAATTCAGGATAAAAATAGAGAGAGATAAAAATAGAGAGAGAGAGAGAGAGAGAGAGAGATTTGCATTAGCTACAAATTAATTTCAATATGCAGCAAGCGATTTCGTGGCGATCGAACGTGGACATGGTCGAGCGTGCGAAAATGCGACGAGATTTTAATGCATCGTAGAGCAGGATCGGTCGCGAGATGGACCGACGAGATGAGATAAAGACAACATCCTCAACACGGCCGCCGGTCTACTCGAGTCGCTCATATATACGTACATACACGAATTTCGCTATTCTCGCGCGGAAACTGCCGTCGCGACTCCTCTCTCTCTCTCTCTCTCTCTCTCTCTCTCTCTCTCTCTCTCTCTCTCTCTCTCTCTCTCTCTCTCTCTCTCTCTCTCTCTCTCTTGGGAACAATGGTCAACCGGGGTGCTCATTTCCCATAGACGGGAAAGCGTGAGCGAGCGAGCGACGCGTATACCTATGTCGTTCTCTTCATTCGCGGTTCTCTTCTGTCGATTCCTCGTCGACGCGAAGCAAAATCTTTCTCTCCCTCTCTCTTTCTCCAGTATTTCCCATATTTCAAAAAGAACGTCCGCCGCTCTACAAATACGTTCATACGTGATTCCGTTATTGAGGGAAAAGAAATCAGTCGTGCGCTCAGAAAGCATTTTCGCGAAAGGCACGTGACGAATTCGCGGGAAATGCATGCTTCAAATTTATGTCAGCTCGAGAACGCTCATCTAGCGAGTACAGCCGAGAAAAATTCAGAACCTACCTACGTACTTTGAGTTAAACGGAGAGTTCCAAAAATTCTAGTGAAAGACTCTAGGAAACGGCAGACGCGCAGGAAAAGGAACTCTGATGTTACAGAGTGTTTTGTTTTGTTTTGTTCAATTTCCTCTTCCTTGTCGCAAGATATTCGCGCTATCGTGACCCGAGAGACTTAAAGAATCGAAAAATGTCGAGGTTTAGCTTGCTTCTATCGACATCATCATCACAAGCGTAATTAAACGCCTAGAGAACAAAACACGAAGAATACATCCAACAACTTACAGTCGAAGCGTTATCGATGGCCAAAAAGATATTCAAAAGACGGTCAAAAGTCATCTTATAGTGAGGTGAGGTGAGAAAATGATTGGCATTTGTGTTAATAATCGCAATCGCGACTCTTGCGAAAATTCGCAGTTTTGTTCACCGAGCGCGATCGCATTCTCAAAGTGTCAAATTTTCCCGACTTTACCGTCTTGTTCTTGGAGTCGATATACTCTTCCGCCGCGTTTCTTCGCGTGAAAAGTATGAAACGAGAGTCGCCGCTTTTACTTATGCCGACGTGGCCAAATATGAATAGCTGAGGAAACGCAGGAACGCGCCGACCGGGCCGACCGGGTATACCGATATATTGCTGTTCTATTTTCTGGATAGGACTCGAAGTAGACACGTCGAGAGGAGCTGTCACTCAGTGATTTATACGTTCGTCCGCGGCGAACGAAGCGCGAGGCCGCGCTGCTTGCGCGCTTCTTCTCTTTAAAGCCGCGCACAGGTCGCAGGCTATTATCGATACGAGGACCGCTTGATGCATGAGGCGGAATATAAAAAGAAAAAAGATACCATGCGCTCGAGAATACGCGATCAAGGCCGCGCGCAGTGGTATCTTTATTGCGTTCGTTGCGGCCGAAAATATAATAAGCAATCGAAGAGTTTCTGTTTGGTCAAAATGTTCTTTACGATCTATCTCGATTTTCATATCGTTCGTAGTCCTCAAATAAGCAATGCGGTCAAATAACATTCTACTACTTAAAACTCATACTAGATACGTAGTGACGCATCTCATTAGAAATGTTTTTTGATATGTTTCTCGAAATGCTTGTTGTCGTCGTATCGATTGTATGTTATTGAATGTATGTTGGATTATTATTAAAAAGATTGTACATATCGAATCAAATATATAATCGAACAAGATAAAACTGGAGAAAAATGAACCTTAGAAACTTACTTATTTCCTTCCGTGACTTCGTTCAATGCTAAATTATATCAGATAGAAAAAAACACTTTGCTCCATCAATTAAGTGACCAAAAAAGTTTGTGCGGTTTTTGCTTGAGTTCGATGCAATGAGTTGCCGAATCTTGTTGAGAGTTATCGAGTTGCTTTGTGTCTCTTGGTGGTTTGTGGTTTCACCTTTTTAAAATGTCTATTAAATCTAGTGTAATTCGAGCATATTTGCTTTATGAATTTAAACTCGAGTCAAAAGCTACACAAGCATGTTGTAAGGTATGTGTAGCACTTGAGGAGATGTGCTAAAAGACGGACTGCACAAAAGTGCGATTTAAAAAATTTTCTCCTGGCGATGAATCACTTGAAGATGCACCACTACGTTCAGAAAGATCCTCCGTTATTGATAACGAAGAGTTATCGATTATTTGTTCACACATCAATTATATTGTTCATACATCAGTTATATTATATACAGCACTTATTCATACATCAATGATAACATTTTTTTTTTAAATCTTTGCTCTTGTTTATTTTTTAATATATATAAAACCGCACGAACCTTTTTGGTTACCTAATATTTAACGTGCTCCTTTCGACATTGTTATTATTATTATTATTGTTATTATGTCGTAGCATTGAGATAGATCGTTCATAACATTTTTATGTCTCACTTGAACGGAGTTATGACCAATGTGTACAAAAGCAAGACTCACCTGTACGTCAAAGTGCGTAGTGGTGTCCTGAGGTTGTGGAGGACCCTGCTGCTGCTGCTGCTGCTGCTGCTGTTGCTGCTGCTGCTGCTGTTGTTGCTGCTGCTGCTGCTGCTGCTGCGAAGGAGGTGGTCCTTGCGGAGGTGGAGGTGCCTGGGCGCCAAACAGCTGCGCGGCTGCGTGCGAATGTGGATGTTGCAGATGATGAGCCGGCGGTGCCTGATGATGTTGCAGATGATGCGGTGGTGCCGGTGCGAATGCCGCCATAAAATGTTCCTCGCTACCGACCACATCAACGCCGGGCTTCAACAGCACGACGCCACCGCCGCCGGTGCTCACCGCCAATGTGGCAGCTGCATTCTTTTGAAACTCTTCCTCCCCCGGTGAGGGTTGACGGCTACCGGGTGTGCGACTGCAATGAGAACGAAGAGGTCAGTTACAAGATGAATCATGATTTACTCAACTGTCGGAAGTTAAACATAAAGACAATCGACGAAATAAAAATGCTAATTAGTTTTTATTTGGGAAAAATTGCCGATACTTTATAAGTATATTTAATATTTTATCTTAAAATTTATATTTCACATTGGCACGTATTGTAAAAATCGTTTTTGCTTTACGCATGTTATATGATTATCATACCAAATGATGATTACCAGAATAGCTTACATATCGAATAAAAAACGTTTTGAATCTGTGAATCTATAAATATATAATATTCTTTTATCATAATATAATTTCTGGTTTTACTGATAAACAAGTTATAAATCTTTATCGAGTAAATAACTTATGTTCGTTTAGAGAATGTTTAATCATCATATTCTCTGTCTATTCACCGCTTGTAATTACACACAACGAGACAATAAGATACTTCACGGTTCCAAGCGAAGAAGTCCATTGCGAAGCCTATACGTGAGTGAGCGCAGGAGTCGTATTTTTATTTTCTATATAAAGAAACTGACGTGATTTTCCTCTGCGATTGCAAATGAGTATTGTAAATGTCAGGGACCTCTCGTTCCGAATGACGAATATGCATAATTCCCAAGTCGGCGCGCGAGAGAAAAATCTGCTCCAAGCCCTCAATAATTCGCGCATTCCCTTTTCTCTCGCGTATGTCATGGAATATATAGCTATATCTCGAGCGTATTAACAATCCGCTTACATAGAAGAAAAAAAAAAAAAGAAAAAAGAAAAGCGTATGAAAAACCGGTTAACTGTATTGTCATCGCGTGCGCAGTATACATCATAATGGCAGAGTTGGAGAAGCAATATTGGCTTAACCGATCTCGTGAATAATAGCATGTAAAAAAAGCGTGCGCGCACGCTCGTATTCCACGTATACGCAATCGGCCGTTCGCCGTCATGACGGTGCCGCGTTTTGCATAATAGCAAATGTGCGCGCAATAGGACGCAATCCGCGGGTCGTTGTCGAGACAACCCGTGTAACCGATCTCGCGCGAGAAAGGAAAGCGGCGACGCTCGCCGTTCAGGAAAGAACGAGAGAAAGAGAAAGAGACAGAAAAGCCAAGCTGGCGGAGAGAACGCGGTCATCAACCGATGAGTTAATATCATTATGATAATGACGCGAGGAACAATCGTAATGGCTATCTTATTACCTGTGACGCGCTTTCGTGCTCGCCCGTCACAATCATGTCCCATTGACTTTGACTGGAGAGTCGAAGCATTATTACCTACAACTTATCCCTCGAAGAGAATGCGAAGAAACGTGCGCTAACCGAGTACAAAGAGAAATGGCCGCCGTTGAGCGACACCGTCGGTAACGTTACTCGCTGCCGAAGCGTGCCGCTGTCGCGGCTGGTTAGATGGCGCGACGTTGTTGGAAAATCAAGCGAGAGAAGCTGTCGCGTCGCGAAAGGAAATAGGAGAGGAGAACGCGATGTCATCGGCCGCGCATAGGTATGCCCTTGACAGCACGCACGCGCGCGCGCGCGCGCGCGCACGCACGCACGCACGCACGCACGCACGCACGCACGCACGCACGCACGCACGCACGCACGCACGCACGCACGCACGCACGCACGCACGCACGCACGCACGCACGCACGCACGCACGCACGCACGCACGCACGCACGCACGCACGCACGCACGCACGCACCGCACGCACGCACGCACGCACGCACGCACGCACGCACGCACGCACGCACGCACGCACGCACGCACGCACGCACGCACGCACGCACGCACGCACGCACGCACGCACGCACGCACGCACGCACGCACGCACGCACGCACGCACGCACGCACGCACGCACGCACGCACGCACGCACGCACGCACGCACGCACGCACGCACGCACGCACGCACGCACGCACGCACGCACGCACGCACGCACGCACGCACGCACGCAGGCCAGTAGCAGCTATCGCTATTATGCTATTTCGCCGTGCTATTTCGCGGACATATAACATATAAAAACTTATCAAATAAAAAATAATACGCGACCAAGAAACTACACACGTTTTGTTCATTACGTGCACTGCCGCCCCCCTCTCTCTTTCTCTCATCGAGCTCACGTATATACAATTGCTTAATTATATGAGTTACAAATCTCCGATCCTGACTTCTATAAAGTAAAGATATCTATGTAAAATAACGACGATTCGATTCGGTGTATACACCCCACCCAAGCATCGAATAAATTTTCATTCGGTTCAATGATTTCACGTTTAATATCGTCTTATTTTTTAACGGAACTATATTTTATATATTTTGAACTGTATTTTATATCTGTTAAACTTGATTTTATTTCACGGAAACGACGATAAATCGCCATTACGTAAACTACAATCGATTCCAAAGGGATCTTTAGAAACGAAAAGTAAATGAGAGCGATAGTCTATGCTGCTTATTAATCGCATGTGTGTGTTTATATATATATAATTCTAGATATTAAAATGTTCAACATACAACGATCAAGAGTCTTTCCTGGAAGAAAGTAAGTTGCGTCTTGAAATATTAAAATCCGTATATAAAGTATGCGCGATACACTTTTGGACATATTGTATGTAACATTTTCTATGCCGCCTGATACTAAGTAACTTAATCGGCAAGATGAATTTCGTTGTACTCACTTGAATCCTTTGTCGTCGTCCAGACCGTTTTGAGACGCCAATCCGTTACCTTGTGGTCCATTGTCATCTTTTGAATTGTCAAAGGGGCTCGCCGAACCTTTTTCTTTTTCTTTCTTGTCTGCATCGGTGTTCTACACGCAAAGAAACCAAGATACAGCGATACAGCAATGCAATATACATAGCGGCGTACAAAGTCTTTCAAAGGTGTTGTTTTGCAATTTGTCACACAAGTCGAATATCGTCTGGAAACTTGTGCATATAGTGATAATACATGCGATGAAGATTATTTGCGCGATTAGATGTTGTCTCAATATCTAAATATCTTAATTCAAGAGCAAGAGTTTTAACTATGCGTATATTAAACGAGAAAGCAATTAATATAAAAGTATCATGGGCATTACTCACCAATCTCAGGGAGACCATTCGTGGTTCCAATTCTTTCGGCGTAGTGGGACTCGATCCAAGAACATATTCGACCATCTTGACTCCCAAACCACCTGTTTCACTGCAAGAGAGAAAACACGCGCGTTATAACGTCGTCACTAGAAAAGCGACACGCAAAACCTAGACTGATGAAAAGGATATGTTACAAAAATGTCAACGAACCTGCTCCTGGGGCTGAGTACTGTTCCGACTTCTGATGCCTGATGATGGTATCCTGTTCCGACACCCACGCGTCTACCAGTGCCCATAGAAATTGGCTGTGACACCGCATGATCTGAAAAGAATCGTATATGTATATATTTGACGCTGCATATTTGATCGCTAAACACGCTACGATTTTTGTACAGTGTTCGAATCGATATTTGGAGATACATCTTAAAGTCATCATAGTCACTCGTTATATTAATTCAACAACGTATAAGTATACATTTTTAGGGGGGAGGTAATATTTTCTCTTTATTATGAGAAGATGTAACGATTCCTCCCCCCCCTCTCTCTCTTCCGACAAGTCTAAGTCAATACAAGAGAAGATCAATAGACACAAATATATACGTAACAACGTACCATCTCTCGTGATAGAATTCGTATCGCAGGAGAATAATTCTTTTGTACGATTCTTACGCACCAACGTACATTTTTTATGCCATCAGCCAATTATTTCGCTGTCGCGTTTATTATATTTCTCTTGTTACATCTTGTCGTTCTATGAAGATTTCATCGACACGCGAATAATGCGAAGATTGCGATCGGCAGTCGCGCGATGTTGACTATGGACGTGTTAAATTACTGAAAATTTCCTACCTTTGTCACTACACATTAATACACGTGTGCATAATTCAATCTACAACGTGTTTCATATTCGTGAGTGAAAACAAACCTCGTCATGATAGTTGTGATCGCGATTTACTATTTTATTATTCTACTTTAATCTACGAAGTCATAATTCAACACGACTACGACGAAGAGATAAAAGTCGTAAAAAAGTTTCTACTTTCAAATCATTCTAAATCCGTATCCTCGGAAAAATGAAATACGCGCGTTCATGAAGCTGTCACGATGGCTTATTCGGAGGAACGTACGCGAGAGCTTCGTACAAATCTTCGCTTCATGTCTAACTCAAGATTCTCGTATCGCGCGACGAAATGAACTCAATGTAACGGAAGATCTTTTGGAAGGCACGTATCTCTATCGAAGATGATTCTAATCTAAAGCGAATCTCGTTCATGAGTATTGTGATTAAAAAGATAACATATTTCCGGATAATTGGTTGGTTGATTGGTTAACTGATTGGTCGGTCGGTCGGTCGGTCGGTCGGTCGGTCGGTCGGTCGGTCGGTCGGTCGGTCGGTCGGTCGGTCGGTCGGTCGGTCGGTCGATTCGTCGGTCGGATGGACGGTTTATTGATGGGTTGGTTGGTTGATCGGTCGATCGATCGATCGGTTGGTCGGTCGGTCGGTCGGTCGGGGTGTTCACTAACGACATTTACTTGTTTGGGGTGGATCAGTAGATACGACCCTGGGCATTGGGACGTTGCTCCCACCGCCACCGCTGATGCCGGGCGTCTGTCGCCATAGCAACAGCCGCGTTGCACCCATCGCGGTGACGCACATACGATCGCGACCACCGCACACCGAAGCCGATACCGACGCCGTCGTGAGGAATCAGGTGTTTCGCGAGCACCCCGTACATACTAGACACATCGCGAGCACACCTTGACAATCGTTCTGAAGGATCCTTTTTCTTTTTCTTCAAGATCTATAAGTACTTGGGCATACCTCAACTTCGCTTTGGAGCCTATGTGACAGAGTTGGTCTGGACGAGGTGGGTGGGAAAGACAAGACAGAGGAAACAACAGGAAACGAAGAGGAAGGAGGCAAGACGCGACAGTAGACAGTGAAAATAATACCGGGCGATGTGATTCAGAGAATAGCGATGCTGCGATTTGATAGTTGTCATTAATTGTCGTTATGTATTTTCTCTTCTTTTAAAACAAAAACGATGTCGAGGATCGTGACTAGCGGTCTAATTTTTCGCGTTACGATCAAAATGGTTAAAAATGTCGAAATTGAAAAATAAAAATGATAATTACCGTAAAATACGACGAATGTAACGGTAAAATTACTGGTAACTCATTTCGCGATGATCGTTGTGAAGATTGAATAATTTCGCCGGATAACGGATAGGAATGTTTTACGAGACCGAGTCTTCGTTGTACAACGCGAATTCGCCGGGCTTTCTAACGTCTGTGACGACTGAATGGCTTTTGGTAATCGGACGCTACGACTTACATATGAGAACACGTAAATCTACACGACTACGAGCCTGCAGGTTTGTATACTCGAGCGACTTAAGCTGTATATTATACGTATTCCTGCTACGTTACGGATGTTACGCTCATATAGTATATATATGACAGAAATGAATTAACATAACATTAACCACGATATATGATTGTACGACGAATATGAATATTAACTTGTTGCGGCTATTTTCTTCACTTTCATCGACGATCTAAGAAAATATTTAATCGCGTCGTTTATTTTTTTTACATTTCTCGCCATTGTTTTTAACGCTGAAAATATCTTTGCAAACATTCTCGTGTCCTGACATCAAAGTAACCGAAATCTATTTGCTATTTTCGTAAAAAAAAAAAAAAATCTTCACTATTCCATGGAAGAAAAATGGTAGGGAAGCAAAGCGGGTAAAAAGATGGAGTCATATTGCGCTCCGAAAAAAATGAGGATCTCCTTCGGAGAAGTAATGCAAAAGCGCAGAGTGATGAATCATAAGGAACGCTTTTCTCTTCGATAGCGACTTCGATATCGTATACTCCAAAGTACCAAACGAGTATTATGCGATGTGAGGAAAACAACTACCGGCGATAAATGGGCGATGGGTGACAATCGACAACATATTTTGAAAGTGAGTCATTTTTTACAAAGAGTTTGTAAGAGAATTTTGATAAGAAAGGTTTCAACAAGTTGCTCTTACACGTTTTTGTTCGTCGTCACTCACACCGCGTGGCTCTCCATGAGCACTTTATTCCTTTTAAAAATATTATAAGCGCTGATTTGTGATAAGCGCGCCTCGGCACATCGCACGTCGTCGTTGCTTACGTATACACGCGACCGTTAGCTGTTTACCTCTCGTATTTATCTGACTCCGGTTTCGATTATCTCATCCGAGAACGAGGCCGCGCTCGAGTTTCACACAAGCGCGCATACGCATTTCGCCGCCGACCGGTCTGTGCGCGACTGAGAAATGCCGCTGAAGCCACGAGCGCGTGCATCGCCACGTTCGAGACAACAATGTTGATCGTACCTGATGTGCTCCAGGTGGAATCCCGCCACATCTGGTGGTCGCCCAAGTGAAGTATCCCACCGCCTTTCACACCCCCCTCGTCCTTGGAGCCGCCATCGTCCACGCCCCAGAGTTTTTTCGCCGAGGGAGCGATCTGAAAATGCGAAGAAAGGAAAGAGTTATGAGAACAGGCTCATAAGTCGCGACAGAAAAGTCGGTGAACACACACTTTTCGGAGGGAGTTCGCGCGTGCTGTGTGTTGACACGAAACTCCCCTCAGGAGCACTCTCTTCTCTACCTTCCTACCTTCCTACCTTCCTACCTCTCTCTCTCTCTCTCTCTCTCTCTCTCTCTCTCTCTCCCTCTCTGTGTGTGTGTCGCTTTCACTCACAGAGGCGCGACCCCTCCCCTCTCTCTCTCTCGTGTACAAAGCGAAGAGATAAAAGGGAACGGACGATGTGTGTGTTCGCATTAGAAAATTAAAAGCAGACTTTACGAGATTAATGATTTCGTGATGCAGCGCCTTTAGCGCGCGCGTTGACGCAAGTCGCGACGAAATTCAGTGTCTCGACGAGCACGATATATAATCAACGACAACGCGTCCCACTGACCCATTACACCACCCACCTGTGTCTTCGAAAAATGTATTTATAACGCATGGTATTTCAGCGCGCAGATATTGTATCTCGCGGATGCGGGACCAATTACGTGACCAATAGAATCAATGATTTTGCAAATGCAAATGAACGAACGAACGCGCATCGTTGGCATAACGTTATTATAACCGAGAATGTTATTGAAATCGAAAGACGAATCTTCGCGGAGTTCAGAGTCGCTAAATAAATAAATATAACATTATTTACTATCAATACCTTCGTGGCGGACTTTACGTTCGGTCGAACGTCTTTGTTTTCCCAATGTTTCCCGCCAGTGTAAATAATAAAAATAAATAATAATAAAAATAAATAATCATCAGGTTGCTGAAATCCGACGAACAAAAAGACGATTCATATACTCCCCCCCCTCTCTCTCTCTCTTGTGATTCACCACAAGAGAATCGCGACAGCGAGTTGAGGAATATGGCAGGTTGCAGCGGACCAGAGTCTTTCGCTAACGCCCAAGTATGTTCCGCGAGGGAGAAAAGCGCTAATTTGAGTCTTCGCGAAGTCTTTTCCAGCTCGGTAAATCTCCGCATGATACTCTCTTCGCACTTACTGTATGTAAAAATTATCACGTATCAGCGGCAGTCCTGAAAAGTACCGACACGCCCGTTTCCCCGTTCCTTTCACGCAATAAATCCCGCGGCATGAAATATTTTTAACACGCGATCTACGTGCGAACATTCGAATCGCGACCTGAACATACCGCGCGACACTGATCCCCGACCTCGCCTAACTCGAGGTTAGTGACGTAATCTCCACGAAAGTAGGGATGGAAGGGGGAAGTGGTCTCGCGCGCGGATCGTAGGATTTTAGGTGTGTGGCGGCGAATGGAACGTACGCGACGAAGAGTTCAAAGTCACGATGTATCAACCCATACTGAGAAACACTGATGGATAGAGAGAAATAGAGAAAGGGGAGAGATGGTCGCGGATCGACGAAATTTTCTGTTCGAATTAAAATCCAAATAAAATTTGTTGAAGCGAATGTTAGTCGACCTAACAAATCATACAAATTATCGTGATGAGTGATTAAATGATTCAACAAGCGTGATTACATCGACAAGATAGAGATACAATCATCAATACAATTTGTCGTTACGACACGCGACGACGTGTAATTTGCTCGACGAAAATACAACATTAGTTCGAACGAGATCGATTTTGTATCCGAGATCCCTGGCCCGCTCTTTCCTTTCTCTATATACTCGCGCTTGTGATGCATGAATCGCGACAATTGTTTCGCTTTTTACAGGTTCCGCAAAATTCTTTCTCCTCTCTCTTTTTCTCAAGCTGTGGATTTTTAAGTAGAATTAAAAAAAGGAATAATTTTATATGTGAGAAATAATCATTGAGACAGCGAGTTATTCCGAATGGAGAGAGTTCCCGTGCCCATAACTTTTCGCCACTAACGCGCTTCTTAACGATTTTGTGGAATTAATACGACAATTTATACGACAATTGTCCCATCGAAATCAACGAATCGATGTCGAAAACTCGAGACAACTCAGACTCAACAAGTTTTACTAGCTTAGAAAACTGGTCAGATGTCCTCGTCACACGGCAAAGGGAAAGGACGCGGACAGCAGCGGCGATTCGCGCGCGCCAACGAATCGGAAAGCGAATCTTCTTTTCGGCCTTGTCATTGAACAACATTATTCAACGGTGGATTTGTTGTTTAAGCGAGCTTAACGACAACGAGAGAGGAAGGTCGCGAGAGTTTATACGTACACACGCATACTCATCACACTTGTTTTTCTTTCGTGAGCATCGCAACGATCGACAAATGTCATTTTAAAAACGACCGCGATAATATCGCTGTTTTTAGGCGAATTTTCCATTTCGCGATCGAAAAGAATTAAGCCGGAATTAGCGGGAAAATTTGCAGCGCGATTTTGTTCGCCGAGAACTCAGCCGGTTCTTCCGGGTTCCTTCAATGAAGGAGAAATCGCCCGAGTTTCCCCGGTACTTTTTCAGAAAGGTGACAGCCGGTCGAAGAAACAACCGGGCCAGCTGAGCACATCGGATCGCTCTATCGTCCTCTCGCGTGCAAACGGTGTGTGTGTGTGTGTAAAAAAGAGAGGGAGAGGGAGAGAGGGAAAGAGAGACAGATATGGTGCAGAGGACGAGGTGGATCTCTGTTTAAAGATTCGACAATGTAAAGGCAAGAGCGTGAAAAGGGTGAAGCTCGGTCAGCCAAAGGCGATATACGTTGTGAGTATCGATCGCAGCCCGCTAGCCGTCGGAGATGCTTTCGTACATCAAACGCGACCGTAGAGAAAGGGAAAGGAGGCGGAGGGAGAAAAAATAAAGAAGAGAATAAAGTCCACTTTGCGCCGTGATCGTACGTGATCACAGAGCGATTTGCATCTTCTAAAAGGTGAACTATTGCAACGGAATGACTACCGTTGATTTCCGCGTAATACGAAATAGGCTGCTAAACGCAGGGTGACTGGGGTACATACACTATATCCTCCCATCCTTCCTTACTGCCTCTTTCGATTATCTGACTTGGCTACCAAATGAAGATAGCGACAGTATTTTCCATCTCTCTATTTCTCCCTCTCCTCTAAGCCGGCCGGCGATAACGCTTTTAGCCCGGAGCAACCTGGGAGAAGAGAGAAATAGATGGAAATAGAGAGGGAACAGGAAAATGGAGGGAAAAAAACACGTGCGAGCGAAAAAGTTGCGCTGACGATACGTTGATCTTCCTCTCGTGTATCATGTTGCCCCCTGTCGTTACACGACGAACGACCGAGGATTTTTAGCCGTTCCGTTGAGAGAAGTGACCTCGCTTAGGACAATCTGCATGTCGAGAGAAGAGGAATCGCGAGATATCTCTTTGTCACGGTTGAAAGAGGCGGAGTGCGTACGCTCGGAGGGAGAGAGAGAGAGGGAGAGAGAGAGAGAGAAAGAGGGGGGGGAGAGAGAGAGAGAGAGAGAGAGAGAGAGAGAGAGAGAGAGAGAGATGAAACGTTGAAAATACAATTTCAAATAAATCTCAACGAAGAAGTTTTCGCGAGATATTTTTACTTATTAAATTTTTATTACAGAAACAACTTGATCGATACCGTTCAATGTTAAAGAAAAGATTCAGGAGATTAACGAGAAGGATTTATAAAAACATTACTGTATGTAAAATAAAATCATTCCAGTCCCTTCAAAACATCTTTCTCGCGATTCTGTCGTATCCTGATCTTCATGCCGACAAACAAGCGAAGCGGAAGGCTCTAGTATGCGGAAAATCACGTTTATCTTTTGCGACTCTGAGACAGAAATCGCGCGTATGTAGTGTCGCAGGCTATATCGATCTCGACCATTTCTTCAAGTCGAGAGTGTTTTCACGGATAAGCAACCGTGAAAAACGTTAGTCTCGTCACTGTTCGCCATTTTTCTGCTTCTTCCAGAGATACTCAAAATAATATGTTTACACACAACTACAGCTATTTCTACGTATCACATTACATACTCGTATTCCGGTTGTACTCTCCGTATCTCGATTTTACCTGATGTAAACGCGTTTCGTTGGTTACCTTTTACGTGGAAAATGGAGGACAGGCAAACATAAAGTCGCGCGCGCGCGCCAAGGATCGAAACTACAAGATTGGAATTTAGGCCTCAGTCCATTTTTCCAATTTCCAATCAACCAATAGCGCATAGTTTAAAAATAGCCTCGCGCGACACCGACGAACGATACGTTATACAAGAGAAAAAGCAACGCGTTTTTCATCCTCGATACTCTGCAACACGTTCGTCCCGTCTCTGCTGGGTGGGTGGGTGGGTGGGTGTGTGTGTGTGTGTATGCGTGTATGTTGCATGATGCACGAGTGTATGAATAAATTTCAATACTACGTTAGTGTAGATACATGCGCGCGCGCGCACACACACACACACATTTCAACAAAAAGATCAAAAATATTTCGTGTTTAGACGCCAAACGACTCACCACCCCGCATGTCCGGGTGCTTGATCGAGCAGAAATTACGGAGCAACATGTAGCCCGGCATAGCCTCGTCCGACATATTTGCTCTCGCGAGAGATCGCGTCTCAGCGAGGCGACTCGCGGCAAACTTCGTCGCATTCGCGCATCCAATCGTAGAGTTCGCCGTTGATCGCCGTTGATTTATCTCGATCTATCTCGTCGATAGCGTCGATTGCGCTAGTTCGAGACACTTCGAAAGTCAAAGTCTCGGACCCGAGAGCTCTAGCTACGAAGGAGCGAGCGAATGAAGAGCGAAGAAACGAAGCGCTAGATACACAAGCGCCGCTCGAAACTTCCTCCTCATCGGCAGCACTCATCGGCTCATCGCCTCGCCTAACCTCCAAATGACTCGCGCGCGCGCGCGCTCTGCTCTTCTCTCACTCATGCTGCTCACCTCCCTTCCTTGTCCTCATCGCACTCCCACGAGACGATGACGACGTTCCGCGCGCGCCGTCGAGCAGAAGCGGCGTGCGCGGAGCGGCGTGGACGTTGTTAAACTGCCACGGGGCCACCG